GACTTTTTTGCTTTCTGATTGTGTTAAGATGGTGGGGAAAATTCACATTATGTATGCTAAGCCCTGTCAGCATAGAATTTTCTGTACCTCAGAATACCTGAGAGGAATAGATAAAAGCTCGAAATGAAAAGGGATTCTAGACACTGATATACACTCAAAAGAGCCAGGAAATCAACACAATAGTAGGCTTAGCATTCAAATGCAACAGTTAACTCGAAGAAATACATTCATTATTTCAATGAAACACAATGATTGATATTTCAATTCCAAGATATCAACAGGTGCTCTGGACTAGCTCATTATTCAGACACCTCAAAGAATCAAGCGAAGAAAGCTATATATCAAGAAAGAAACAGCTTATGATGGCAAATGTTCCAAACAATTAATTGTGAACAAACATTGATTTCGGATCTCATGACATCAGTAGGACCCCAAAGCTGGATTTACTGATTGCACCTGAGGAAGGGACAGAGTGACAGCTACACTTGAATCAAACCAACCAAGCTTCTCCACGAGCCTCTTGATTAATTCACCTGCAGCATAAGAAATGCCTGAGGCCATAACTGCCATACCAATATAGTACAGTACAGTTTTGATGTATGCGTAAAAGTTGGGTTTCTTCTGGATGTAAGCCTTCCCAATTGCAAGTATAGCAATGCACAGAAGAGAAGCTGCTGCGACTAGCACAAGCTTTAGGTCCTTGTCATCAGTCTGGCGAAATGAGAAGCCGTAAGTTACTGGAGGGATTAAGCCAAAAATGAGGAACGCTAGCACAGCAACCGTTGTATGAAGTAAGAAATTGTCCGTCTGGCCCAGTAATTCTTTGTACCTAGACTCTTCATTTTTTAGTTCCCTAAGCTGCAGGATTACATGTTAGTTCAAGACACAAGAAAGAGAATTAACCTGAAAATGAAAAATTAGGAAAAGATTTTGCCTCACATAATATGAAGTATGAATGATTTAAAGAATAATGTCCTATATATATATATATATATATTTTATTTTTTTTTATCAACAACGGACTTTATTGAAGAATAGTGTCCTATATGCAACTCCATAGTTTGTTATTATGAGACAACAAGAAGATAAAGTTTAATATTTTGAATACCTTGTCTTGTCAATTGATGTAGCTCATTATTCACACACACCCACGAATCAGAATCCTCTCCTATGGACTAACCGATTTCTACTATCGAGGTTTTTGCTTACTACATGGGTATAGTTCAAGAATTTCCTCAGCAGATGTGGTGTATGGAGTAACGGCACTTCTAGAGTCATTTGTAGAATCTGATGGCTCATGTGCATCCAAGCAGTTTGGAGTGGCCTATGATGCATTGTCCTTGAGCAAGTTTGAAAAGTTGGAAACCGGAATGCAACATGCTATCAAGATACGAAGGGAAATTCTGAGACAAGGAAGTTCAGCTATAACCAAGAAGGGATCAATAAGCAGTAGGAGTAAATTCAGATGGGTGAAGCTTGAAGATTCCATGGACACTAAACTATTGGGTTATCCCCAGGCATTGACTAAAGTCGAGCATTTTCTGATGGATGCTTTGCGGGAGAAAGGTGCAAAAATGAAGCCTTTGATCTGTGTTTGCTATACTCAAGATCGAAGCAAGGTGTTGATTGTTGGAGTTTGTGGGAAGCCACGCCTCGGGGCAAATAAAGGAAATGTATTTGGGATTGATTTTAGAGATGCAGCTGAGGAGACTAGAGCTGATTTCTTTCATGAGCTATTTGAGTCACCATGGATAGTTTTGGACGCACTTGCAATAAATTCGTTCATGATAAGGCTAACTTAGAAGCCATGGTGAACAACATTGTCCATAATGTAATCAACTCGATCTTTCTCTTTGAGCTTAACTAATATTTGTCAGGAGATGAATATCTGTTGGTTACTTCAAGCAAACATCTTTTCTTCATTCTGGCTTGTCTGAAACAATTTATAAATGACAAGCCATAATTTATCCATATAAGTAAAGATTATTGGTTTGTTTCTTTTGACTTGCGTTTGTACCATGATTTTCGTTATAAACATCTACTGAACTTGCTCCTGTAATTCCTTATATATTTCTCATATATGAAGATCAACATAAATGCAGTTTAGAAATTGAAGCTCTTGCTAGTGAAGTTCTTATGGCAATATGTCATTAGAGAACCTGTATCGTGTTTCACAAAAGTAAGAAAGCTGTCATTTTAGGTCAACTGTGAGCTTTTAGAGTGTTATCTCTGAAAAATTAAAAAAGAAATTCAAATGATTCATGGTTTTTAGCTACTTGGAGACTGCCCTCATCTATCCTTAGGGGTGATACTCCTTGATGTTTCAATGGGTATATCTAACAGATTTTGTAGGTGGTCCTCTTTCTTTTCTGGCTGCTGGTATTATGATGCTGGAAGTGATTGAGGGGAGCAGTGAGTTGAGTGTGGTGTGATTCCATATTGAGGGTTGAGTGAATTGTGAGCTTTTACATGATTTTCCTAACAGTTTGCTATGCAGGATTGTTGTTCCAACCCACATGCATGAAAAACGTGGGAAGGCAACCAACCAAGTCAAGCTTGGCAGCCACCAACCATAGCAAGGGTCAAGAATGGAGGCTACCCAAGTCAAGAATGAAGGCTCTCACACCTACTCCTTTTGTGTATAAATAGAGACGGAAGGGAGAGGATGTGAGATATCAGAAATTGGAGAGTGAGAGCTGTGAGTTGAGTGAGTTTCATCTCCTCCTCTGTATTTTGTATTTTGCTCCATTTTAGTGAAAATTCTCATTTCTGTCCGTGGATGTAGGCATTGGGCCGAACCACGTAAATATTGTGTTCTCTATGTGTGTGTGATATTTTTCTGGGTGTGTATTTGATCCTAACAAAGTGGTATCAGAGCCAAGTTGTACGTTTTTCGGAAAAACAGAGTATTGTTTCGAAACTGCCCAGAAATCGTATTGCTCGAAATCCGATTTTGAGCATACCAGGAGCAAGGACTCGACGAGAAGAGTCCAGAAATATAAAACAGACACCAAACGGAGGCCGCACACGCTCCCACGCGCCCCAGGAAGTTGGCGCGTGAATCCCACTCTCATCACGCGCCAACACGCGCCGTTCAGGCACCCGGCGCGTGATCCCACTCTCAGACACGCGCTCCACGCGCGGTTCAAGAAGGAAGACGACTGAGGAACCAGCGCGTGTCTTACACGCGCCATCAGCACGCGCGCCCCAAGCCGAGCCGGAGCCGAGTTGACCAAGCCGCTGACTGAGCCGCTGACGTCAGCAGAACCGGAGGAATAATCTGGTGCTTCGCAGGCGCACCAGATTCTGCCCATCTGAACCATTCAATCTGTTTTGGCTTGATCTAAGCCATTTGAGATCCGATTTGAGTGATCCAATAGTGGTTTCCGACTATTTGGAGTATTCCGGACACATCCGTACGGTCAGATTTTGCAAATAAGTTTTGAAAAATTTGAAGTTTTTATTTTGGCAATCCGAAGTGCTTTTCCGGCTAATTTGAGCAGTCCGGACTTCACAGCAAAGCCTGTTTTTCAAATAGAGATCATTTTTGTATTATGGAGGAATCAACGTCGACTTCAGGTTTCATGATAAAGTTAAATGCTTCTAATTATGCCATTTGGAAGCCCAGAATGGAAGATGTCCTGTATTGCCGAGATTTGTTTGACCCCATTGAGCTTAATGGAGTTAAACCACCAACAGAAAAAGACGAAGACTGGGAGCAGCAAAAGTGAGTTTTTTCATCAAATTTAAATTTGATGAACCATTTGGTGAACCATTGGAGATGGTCTTAATGACTTTGTTCAGTAGCTTCTCAGGTCGTCTGTATTGTCCATAAATATTGTCCTTACCGGATTCATATTTATTTGGCCAAGGAAAAATTAGAGGAAGTAATATACGGAATACTGATACAAAGAATGAAAGTTAGCTACTTGTTCTTCACTCTGCCACTCTACCTATCTGTGTCTATAAGTGATTATAATGGCATAGGTTGAGACACATTCAATGTTAATGACTTTGTTCATTAGCTTCTCAGGTTGTCTTTATTGTCCATAAATATTGTCCTTACTGGCATTCATATTTATTTGCCAAGGAAAAATGTACAAATTGTCAACATCATTTATTAATAAACAACATGCATGATTTGAGGCTTTGACATCCATTGTATTCCTGCTAAATTATCTAATCTCTCTTTTGAATTCAATAATAAGCTCAACTATGTGTACATCACCTGAAAAGACTCTAACTAATAGCTACTGCTACTTTTGTAACTTGTGCATCTGTCTTTGTTTGTTCATGTTTTATCCAATAGCCTGGGTGGCTGTTTAAATTAACTACTCTTACTTTGTCTAATCTGTCCATCTGTCTTTTTTTGTTTGTGTTTTATTTCCAAGATGCTTCATTTAAATAGAATACCAGAAAATAAGAAAAAGAAAAATAAGAGAGTTGTTTCACAGCCTGTAAAAATTTCATTCCAAGTGGTCCCAATGATAATTTTCATACATATAGTTTATAAATGATTTCTCAGAAGTTTTTTTTTATTATTTAATTATAGGTTACACTTTTTTAAACAGGTTTCAAGTTGATGGAGACTTCAAAATTATTAGGTCCTTGCCCAGAGAAGCCTTTAGAGATATATGAGTTTGAAAGGAACTTCATTTTTAAAATCATCTTCTTCTTTTTAGGATATTGGTAGGCATTAGTTGATGTGGATGCTGACTTTGAGTTTTAGACTGTTTTGGCCTCTTTGTTTTGTACGTTGATGTGATGATTATGACTAAATGCCTTTGTGGCTTTCTCCTGATATGGATCATCATGATACAAATGGAAATTTCAGCTGCCCATTTTGCCGGAAGGTAAGAACCACCCCATGAGATTTTCTCTTGTTTTTCCTTGTGCTATTCAATTTATAATTTTTCAAGTACCTTTTTCTTTTTACAATGTAATGCAGTTTACTGTGAGACTTTAAATGATGAGCAATAGCATTAAGTCCCAGTGTTAACTGACACCATAGGTCACCATCTAAAAAAAACTGACACCACAGGCAGGACTTTAACATGGACTTTCCCATTGCAATGATGCTCACAGATGGAGCTTATTACTACAAATTATGGTTAAGTGGACATATACAAATAATGGTTAACTGGACATATTTAAAGATCATGAAGATTTCAGCCGTCTAAGTTTGGGCTCTTAGAACTGATCCAATGATTGTAATAGTATGGTATTTTAGGGCTACATCTCCCGTCAGGCTTTTCTTGGACATATTTATTGTATAATGTCCAAGTTTTATTTTGAGAATGGACATCAGGTCCATCTTGAATGTTGTATGTCTGTTGATTGCTCTATGGTAGCTCATGCTACATGCTATGCATTCTTTTTTTTGTTACACATTTTGATCAATTATAGGTCAGGGAAATTGTTGCAGTATTGGATCTTGATGTCCTGTTTTATCCTTCCTTGCCCAAGAAATGGTCCGAATTTCCGTCAAAAAGTTGCTCAGATAGGTGGAAAGCAGCTGTTCCCTTACATGGTTTGATAATAATATCCTTTTCTTTTGTTCTCCTTCTATTTGCACCTCTATTGAAGAAATACAAAACAAGAAAATAGTATGAACCTAACTAAGTGTTTGGGTGCAAAGCATTTGCACATGTATCTAAGGAGCACAGACAGAAGCTAGATAATAAAGCCACTCCATGCGTCTTTATTGGCTATGGAGATGAAGAATTTGGATACAGATTGTGGGATCCGAAACACAAAAAGGTCATTCGAAGCCGAGATGTGGTGTTTCAAGAAGGCCAGACCTTTGAAGACTTTGGGCAACCAGCCAAACCCAAAGTTGATGATGTTTCAGAAATTATTCCAAACCCTGCACCATCACAGCATGCCACTGATGAAGAAGAGTTACCGCAGCATGCAGTCAATGATGTAGAGTTGCAGGATGGATTTCTAGAAGAAGAAGATCCAGAAGCAGAGGGTGTTGAGCAGGGGGAGCCACAACCCCCTCTACTAGAGACTGTTGGTCCACAGTTACGAAGATCAACAAGAGAATTTAAGCCGTCAACCAAATACCCTACTTCTGAGTATATTTTGCTTACCGATGAGGGGGAGCCAGAAAGTTTTCAAGAAGCTCAAAATCATAAAGAGACGAGTAGCTGGCAGCAAGCTATGCAATAAGAGATGCAGTCCTTGCAGAAGAATCAGGCTTATGATTTGGTGAAACTTCCCCAGGGTCGAAAAGCATTGCAGAACAAATGGGTGTTCAAGTTGAAGAAAGATGGCAGCGGAAAGCTAGTCAAGTATAAGGCTCGATTGGTTGTCAAAGGTTTTGGGCAGAAGAAAGGTATTGATTTTGATGAAATCTTCTCGCCAGTTGTGAAAATGACATCCATTCGAGTAGTTTTGGGACTAGCAGCTAGTTTGAATTTGGAACTTGAACAAATGGATGTGAAGACAGCATTTCTCCATGGTGATCTGAAGGAAGAAATTTACATGGAGCAGCCAGAAGGTTTTGAAGTCAAAGGGAAAGAAAACTTAGTCTGCAGATTGAAGAAGAGTCTCTACGGCCTCAAACAAGCGCCGAGACAGTGGTACAAGAAGTTTGACTCATTCATGGTAGGTCATGAGTACAAGAGAACTGTTGCAGACCAGTGTGTTTATGTCAGGACATTTCCCGGTGGAAACTTTATCATACTTCTGCTCTATGTTGATGACATGTTGATCGTTGGACAAGATGCCACAACAATCAGATCACTGAAGAAGGAGTTATTACAGTCCTTTGACATGAAGGACCTAGGCCCTGCAC